ATCAGAGGGATTAGGAGTGAGTATTATAAGAGGGATTAAGAGTGAATATAATCAGAGGGATTAGGAGTGAGTATTATAAGAGGGATTAAGAGTGAATATAATCAGTGGGATTAGGAGTGAGTATTATAAGAGGGATTAGGAGTGAATATAATCAGAGGGATTAGGAGTGAGTATTATCAGAGGGATTAGGAGTGAGTATAATCAGAGGGATTAGGAGTGAGTATTATCAGAGGGATTAGGAGTGAGTATAATCAGAGAGATTAGGAGTGAGTATAATTTTGTTCTTTCTTTTCTCTCTAATCCTTGGGTTACTAAAATTTTTGTCTCTCAGAATAGATAACTTGTTCATCTTTAAAATGATTCTGTAGACGTTAATGACTAAACTGTGCTGTAGACGTACTTGCATTCTAACATGTTCTCCTTTTACTAGGAATCTTGTGGGTGGGGGTGGTATGCTGGCTGATAAATCAACTTAGGGTGCTTGCACGTTAAAAAATGTGTGTTTCATTGAACAGATCAAAAGTTTTATTTTTCAGGTTTTGTGAACAATGCTGATGAGTAGCCTGCTATATTACTATAATATTACACCATTTAAAACAAACTAAAATAACTTTGTCTTTGTTGTTGTTTTTCATTTCGTTTTCAAAAATGATTGCCTGGTTAAATTATCTAATGGGTAGCAATAAACGTCGACTATATTTTTAAGCTTAAAGTAGCACATTTTTCTCGAAAACTGACATTTTGGGGTGAAATGGAGAATGAAAATTCTGCTCTAACAGTAAAAACGTCATGATAAAACTTCTGTTTAAATTCCTGGGGAAATACACTTTAAAGCAGTTTACCAAGTTAGAACAAGAAAGTAAAAAAAACGCAGCAGTATATTTAATATTCAAGTTGGTTTATACATACACCCTTCCCAGTTGTAAAAACTTCCTAATAAAAGAAGACAGCCGGTACACTTATTACACAGCTTCTTCACAATGTCTGCGGTATCTTTCTAAAGAGAAGACAGTTCTCAGTTACCTGTTCTTGGAGGAAATTATATCATTGATTCAGGGGTAAGAGTAAGGAATAATGAGCAATATTGTACTCGCCATCAGTTCCTCTGTACACCAGCAATATTGTACTCACCACCAGTTCCTCTGTACATCAACAGTATTGTACTCACCACCAGTTCCTCTGTACATCAGCAATATTGCACTCACCATAAGTTCCTCTATACATCAACAATATTGTACTCACCATAAGTTCCTCTGTACATCAACAATATTGTACTCACAACCAGTTCTCCTGTTCATGAACAATATTGTACTTACTATCAGTTTCTCTGTATATCAACAATAATGTACTCGCCATCAGTTCCTCTATACACCAGCAATATTGTACTCACCATCAGTTTCTCTGTACATCAGCAATATTGTACTCACTGTCAGTTCCTCTATACACCAGCAATATTGTACTCACCATCAGTTCTTCTGTACATCAACAATATTGTACTCACCACCAGTTCCTCTGTACACCAGTAATATTGTACTCACCATCAGTTCCTCTATTCACCAGCAATATTGTACTCACTGTCAGTTCGTCTTTACACCAGCAATATTGTACTCACCATCAGTTCCTCTGTACAGCAACAATATTGTACTCACCATCAGTTTCTCTGTACATCAACAATATTGTACTCACCATCAGTTCTTCTGTACAGCATTTAGTTCTTCCAAATTTTTGACCTGTAGTGTAAGTCTGATGACAAACATATAAGATGTAAAACATGAATAATGATGATGAACATGCATCATTAAGGTATCATAACTGATTATGAGCAAGAACCATGTAAAATATAAAGATTGTTATTGTTGAGGAACAGTGTATGTGCAAGAATGCAACTTCGGACGTTAATAAATTACTGTTCGTTCCAATAACAAGAAAGAAATGAAAAATATCGTTGTTTTTTACACAAGAAAATAGAAGTTTATAACATTGTTAAAGTATTGTTTTGTCCGGATGAAGCATAACATTGTTAAAGTATTGTTTTGTCCGGATGAAGCATAACATTGTTAAGGTATTGTTTTGTACGGATGAAGCATAACATTGTTAAAGTATTGTTTTGTTCGGATGAAGCATAACATTGTTAAAGTATTGTTTTGTCCGGATGAAGCATAACATTGTTAAAGTATTGTTTTGTCCGGATGAAGCATAACACTGTTAAAGTATTGTTTTGTCCGGATG